TAGTTTTGTTATTGTTTTCAACAGAAAATTTATACTGCTATCTTTTTAGAAAAAGAATAAAGTCTATTGTTTATTGGTCACATTAAAACTCTTACTCATTAGTATGAAACTAGGCTTTTTTATAAAGTAGAAAAGTTGTCATGTAGTTTCAGCACTTTGGTGTCAGAAATAATTGTGCTTTACAGCAAAATGGCAGCCAGAAAAAAAAAGGAGGTGCAGAAATATCAACTTTAATTAAACCTTTTTTTTCAAATACACTTCACAGTTTATATGTTGGAATAATTTATCACCTTGTGAATGAACACTTAATACTTGGCATGGTACAAAATGGGCAGAGACCTTACACCATATGTTCTTTCTTTTCTCTTCTAGAATTTCCATAGAGGCAGCATTAAGTCTGAAGTTCAAGTGTGTACTTGAATTCATGTATTGAACTGCTATGGATGGCGTCTTTGAACTCAGGTCCTAGACATGTGTAATAAATATAACCTTATACTATTAAGTGGATACCAGTCTGTCAAAAACACAGAATTGGAATCAGAAGAAATACCCTCCATAATCTTTCATTAAAACCCTAGCAACTTACAAGAATGAAGCCACAGATACACAGTTTTACTCACACTTCTGTTTTACCAGTGGGGAGGCAAAGCCTTACAGAGGGGAACTGAAGTGGTCCAAGGATAAGTTAGTGTTGGAGCCCTGTTTCCTCCTTTAATACCACTTCCCTCACAATTGCTTCCTAGGACCACACTTTAAGATTTCCTCCCTGCAGATGGTATTTTCTGTGCTTTTCTACATGGTGTCCTGGGTTTGCTAGAAGCAGAATGTGGTGGATTATTAAAATGATGAGTGTTGAGGCTGGGAAGATGGTTCAGCAGTTAAGAGCATTTGCTAGTTTTGCAGAGGACATTAGTTGTGCTCCCAGCGCTGATTTCTAACAGCTCCTCACCACCTAGAACTCCAACTTCAGGGCATCTGAAGGCTTCTGGCCCTTGTGAGCATCTATACTCATGTACACCATTCGTACAGAGGGGTGGGGAGAGATTGTTAAAAATACAATATTTAAATGATGAATCTTAATGAGAAAAGAAGTTGATGTGTGACAGCACTGCCTTTTTAACCTCCTTCCTTCTTACTGAATTTTGCACATTCCAATGCATATAATTGCATTTTACGTATTCCAATGCATACAATACAATACAACAAATGCAAAAGGCTTTAACTACTCCTTGAGAAGAAACTGGAACAATACTATTGTGAAATTTTATTTGGTTGCTAGCAGACTCCTCTAACTTTATATCTGTAGTCTCTTCAGAAATTATTTTGGCATATGATGAAAGCTTGGATAGGCCAAGTCAAAGAGTAACAAGGGATAAAGGATTTGCTTGCTCTATGAAAAGTATTCTACCAGCCCACTTATGTCCTAGATTACTAAGGCCAAATGGCTACAGTGTCACCTGTAACACTTATTTATTCCTCTCTGAGTACCTCATAGCTCTCCTTTTGTGTTCTCCACTTTCAAGGCACAAGTACACAATCTTTTGAGTAGCAAAGAGTAACAAACAGCCTTGTATTTTTTTCCATGGGAAAAGAAGAAGAATCCCAGGTCCTACTTGGTGTTTGTCCCTGGGTAGTGGAGTAATAGAGAATACATGCATTTCTGAGAGCTAGCTGGTTTACGCCTAGACTCCAGATGCCATCAAGAGAGAGCAGATGCTTTTATCCAAGGAAACATGAGTTATAAGAAAGCAGAGTAAGCAAAGAATGTTATACAAGGAAGAAGTTATTTCCAGTAATGAGTACTAAAACTTCAAAAGAAGTCTAGAAACTTGAGAGACTGTAGGTAAGATAAGTACAAGATATTTGGAAAGGCAAACTATATCAATGGCTCCTTCTTACTGCTGATCATGGTTGGATTTGAGGAAGCATTTCTGGGCCTGTTACTGGTTTCTTATTCAAATTTTCTTCTTGCGATTTGAGCGAAGTAGGAAAGCAGCCTATGTAAAACTGCTCAGGAACATAACATGCTGAGCTGATCATAAAAAACAAAACAAAACAAAACAAAACAAAAAAGAAATTGATGCTGTAGCTTTAATTGACTTCTATAGCTTTAATGGATCCACCAGTGAGTCAATGAGAATTTGACCTATTAGTTCACCCTGTAGTGTTAATTGATCACTATAATTTTAATTAATTGATCCACAAAGCTTAATAAAGACTTGACCTTTTAAGTATTTTCTTTTTAAACACAGCATCTTGCTAGGTAGGGCTGGCCTGGAATTCACTATGAAGCTCAGATTAGATCAAACTAGTCTCAAATTTCTTCTTCTCTTTTATTAATTATTGTTCCCTCATATATTATATCCTAACTTCAATTTCCCCTCCCTATTTATCTCCCAGGCCCCATCTCCCCCACCTCTCCTCTCCACCAGATCCACTCTTACTCTGTTCTCCTTCAAAAAGGGACAGGCCTCCCATCTCTAGGACATCAACCAAACATGGCAGTTGCAGTAAGACTAGTCATATCCCCTTATGCTAAGTTTGGACAAGGCAACCGAGTATGAAGTGAAGGGTCTCAAAAGCAGACAAAAGATTCAGAGACACTCTGCTCCCACTGTTAGGAGTCCCACAAGAACACCAAACTACACAACCATAATATATTTGCAGAGGACCTATTTCAGATCTATGTAGGCTCCATGATAGTCAGTTCAGTCTTCATGAGAACTTATGAGCTATGATTAGTTGATTCTGTTAGTTTTCTTGTGGTGTCCTTGACGTATCTAGCTCCTACAATCCTTCATCCCAGTCTTCCACAAGATTTCCTGAATTATGCCTTATGTTAGACTGTGGATGTCAGCATTTACACCTATCAGTTGATGGATGAAGCCTCTCTGATGATAATCATTATGCTAGTCAGAATATTAGGAATAATTTCTTTTTTCTTTTTCTTTTGGCTTTCAAGACAGGGTTTCTCTGTATTACTTTGGAGATTGTCCTAAAACTCACTCTGTAGACTATGCTGGCCTTGAGCTCAGTCTGCCTACCTCTGCCTCCCGAGTGCTGGGATTAAAGGCATGCACCACTAATGCCTGGCAGGAATAATTTCATTGACTATTTTTTTTGCCAGTTGTGTTTGGTTCCATCTTATGTCTTTGTCCTATTCAGCCTTTGGTTCCTAGCCCTCCAGGCAATGTTAGACATGAGCTACATCTGGTGGCATAGCTCTCAAGCTGGACCATGCATTGGTTAGCCATTACCGTGAGTTCTGTTTCACCTTTACAGCAGCATATCTTGCAAGCAGGACAAACTGTAGGTTTAATGTTCTGTGGCTGGGTTGGTGTCCCAGTTCCTTTAGTGGAAGCCTTGCCTGGTTACAGAAGATGGCAAGGGCAGGCTCCTTATCCCCCATTACTAGACTATAAATTGCATTATTTGGTATTTTTGATAACTAGTTTCTTGAATTCTTTATACAGTTTGGATATTAGCCCTCTTTCAGAAGTGGAGTTGGTAGCAATATTTTGCCAGTCCTATTGTCCTTTGCTTTATAGAAGTTTTTTTGTTTTATGAGGTCTCATTTATTGACTGTGGATATTAGTGCCTTTGCCATTGGTTTTCTGTTCTGTAGTTGTCCCCTGTACCAATGTGTTTAAGGCTATTTCCCACATTCTGTTCTATTAGGTTCAATGTATCTGGTTTTATGTTGAGGTCTGTGATCCGCTTGGACTTTATTTTTATGCAGGAAGATAGATATGGATCTATTTGCATTCTTCTGCATGCTGGCATCCAATTAGACCAGCACCATTTGTTGATGATGCTTTAACTTTTCTGTGTACATTTCTGGCTTCTTTATCAAAATCAGGTGTCCATAGGTGTGTGAAATTACATATGAATCTTTGATTTAATTTCATTGACCAATCTGTCTGCTTTTATGCCAATACCATGAGGTAATTTTTATATATATAATGGCAATACTAGAGGCAATGGTGATACCTCAACACACTGTTTTTACTGTACAGGATTCTTTTGGCTATCTTGGCTGTTTTGTTTTTCTATTCAAAGTTATGGGCTGGAATTGGGTGACAAAGGGAGGGGATCTATTTTCAGGAAATCAGCATGCTCTGAGGAGTTTTTGAGGTCTTCAGGTAGGATTCTGTCTGAGGGTCTGGGTACCAGCATGGCCTCTGGTAGAACCTCAAACTTCTTAAACTTTGTTTTATCTTGAGTATGTATACTGAGTGCTGGATTTCAGGCCTGTGCCCCCCCCACACACACACCTTGACCATTTATTTCTTCATTGATCCTTTTCATTATCAATGTCCTCCCTTCCATCTAAGAGCCTGTGACATGAATTCCTTATATTTTCCATTTGTGCTAACCTCTTGGTATATGCTGTGGTTAACCACCTGGAATGATTGGAGAATTCTGGTGTTTTTCCTCATGGTAGCCTATTCTCCCCATTCTTAAATTAGTACCTTTCACATCAGTATTCAACCTAGCTGCCACATCCTCTAAGAATTCTCCCTTAGCTGGGCCAGCCTCTGGCATCATTTCCATGAGTACTGTGTTACTCTTCTGGACTTCCTTAATACCCGTAGTTTTTCTAGCACATAAACATAGCCAAGCACAGTTACGATCAATTAATTATAGAAATCTTTCTGTGTGTCAGACACTTTTAGGGGCCTTATATTCACTTTTCACTTGATCTTTGCAGCAACCTTTCTATGAATACTATTCTTATCTACATTTCCTAAAATGAGCAAGATGGGTTCAGAGAAAGCAGTCAGCTTTCTGAGAGCTGACAAGTGGTAAACTGACATTCATACAAACATGGCTGCTAAATGGAAATGAAATGATGTGAGGATGAAGGCTGCAGCTAACCCAACATCTCTCTGCTTGCAGAAGCTGACTGGGGAAGTGGGCAGCCCTGATGTGATGTCCTCAATACATGAAGATATTCTATTCCAGAGGAGGTCTACTTGACACATCTGGGAGGCCACGTCCGAAAGCCTGCCACTCTGTTGGTGTAGGGAGTGACAACTGCATTCTCCTGTGCCTACTGCATAACCAAAAATGAAGGAGAACTACTGTTTACAAGCTGCCCTGGTATGCCTGAGCATGCTATACCACAGTCAGGCATTTGCCCTGGAGCGACGAAACCACCTGCGGCCCTCATTCCATGGACACCATGAAAAGGGCAAGGAGGGACAGGTGCTGCAGCGCTCCAAGAGAGGCTGGGTCTGGAACCAGTTCTTTGTGATAGAAGAATACACTGGGCCTGACCCTGTGCTTGTGGGCAGGGTAAGGCTACTTATATTCAATACTGATCAATCTGTATGTCTTCATCATAGGAAGGATATGAGCAGGGCAAAAATGAAGCAAAAAAAAAAAAAGCAGAAAAAAAAAAACAGGCAAACTAACAAACAGGCCACCTCTTGGGGAGGGGGGGGTTAAG